ATAGGATATATACTATAAGTCATATACTTATACTGTGACTCATATACTGTGACTCATACCTATACTGGAAAAGAGGGAAAAGGAAAAACAATTCTGCCCCAGTCAGAACAGAGGAGAAAACAGATTGAGTTCTGAATCCTGACAGCAGCATCATGAGAGGGCTTGGCATGTCTAAATTCCTATGACTGGAGCAGGTTCAGGATTGGGAAGGATTCTGAAATGAGTGATTTCACTGATTACCAGGACGTGGTAAAGGGGGTGACATAATCAGACCTGGGGGATGGGGTGACTCTTTAGGAGTGGTGAGAGAGTGGATGAGACCAAGCAGAGGCAATGTCAAGAGTTCAGATGAGAGAAGATGACGGCCTTTTCTCAGGGAAGATGAAAAATAAGACAACAGCTTAGAAATACTGGATCGACCAGAAAGTTTATCCAGGGTTTTCTGTAAGATATTATGGGATAACCTGAACGAACTTTTTGGCCAATCCAATAACTCAGGACATGGAATGAACTACATTCAATGCCTCCAACACTAGGAGTGAGGAATGGAAGGGAACCTGGGTGACTAAAAAAACCGCACAACTTCTTATGACGAGTGGATGGTCATGCTATCATTACACTGATAGGCAAGGGAATAATTCGAAGCAGTTGGGAGAGGAAAGAGAATGAGTTTCTGCGTGGTTTTTGGCTTGCCTCACATTAAGAGTTGGCAATAAAGAATGCAGCTGAAGCTATTAAATTGGCTATTAGACAGGGAAGATGGAAAGACTCCGTAAATACCTATAGTATTGATTCCTATAAAAATGAAAGAACCAAATCACAAGATTTTGCATGTGATCTCAGAGGTAGTTCTTGGAGACCCCATCTATGATAGGAAGTCTGGGGATCTCAGTTTAGGAATCCATGGGATAGCACAAAGAGACTTGGGGTAGAGTCTTACAAATATTCAATGAGTGAGAGTGAAGTTGAAACATTTACAAACATAAATATGGAATACACTGTTAAGATGAGTGTTGGCAGCAGGTAAGATAGTTATATCTACCATGCTTAGTGACATAAGCTCAGTTTCCTAGAGTTGGCTATAGGCTTGCTGTTTGTTTACCCGTGTGTCCCATTTATTCAGTAATAACAACAGCAGGCACTGTTAAATGAGATGTGAAGGCCATCATGTCTGGCTCTAGAGACACAAAGACAAATTAAGGACCCTACCCTGCTCTCAAGGAGCTTACAGTCCAGGTGGGCGGTACTTGTAAATAACTAAAGTACCAATGGGGAAATGAGTGTTGGAAGATGTACATGCAATAGGTGCTAAGACAGAACACCATATTGCACCTCAGTTTTGTAATAAGGTTTTGAGGGAAAACTTCTGGAGAGGACCAATAGGCTTTACTCTGAAGAATTAACTGTATTTAGTCTGGCAACACTTCAATGTAATATATAACATAGCTGTTTGTTCTGTTTGTTCTATAGCAAGCACTTCAGAAGGGCTTGAATCTAAAGTACAAGAAATGGCATAAGACAGTGGGTGGAAATGAAACTAGACAAGTAAGCAGGGCTAAGACAGTAATCTAAAAAGCCAGCAATTTCCAAGAAAGGTAACTCTGTCTGTGAGAAAGCCTGGTTTAGGACATCTTTATGGATTTGAGCACGGTGATAAACTAGGAAACAATGAAGAGGCATGCAAACTCAATGAAAAGAAAAAGACAAAGGAGATTCCCCACTGTGCTAGTCAAACAAAAACAGCTGAAGGATCATATAAGACATCTTAATTGACTATGCCAAAGCCTTCGACTGTGTGGATCACAATAAACTGTGGAAAATTCTGAAAGAGATGGGAATACCAGACCACCTAACCTGCCTCCTGAGAAGTGTGTATGCAGATCAGGAAGCAACAGTTAGAACTGGACATGGAACAACAGACTGGTTCCAAACAGGAAAAGGAGTACGTCAAGGCTGTATATTGTCACCCTGCTTATTTAACTTATATGCAGAGCACATCATGAGAAACACTGGGCTGGAAGAAGCACAAGATGGAATCAAGATTGCCAGGAGAAATATCAATAACCTCAGCTATGCAGATGACACCACTCTAAGGCAGAAAGTGAAGAGGAACTAAAGAGCCTCTTGATGAAAGTGAAAGAGGAGAGTGAAAAAGTTGGCTTAAAGCTCAACATTCAGAAAACTAAGATCATGGCATCTGGTCCCATCACTTCATGGGAAACAGATGGAGAGACAGTGGAAACAGTGTCAGACTTTATTTTTTTGGGCTCCAAAATCACTGCAGATTGTGACTGCAGCCATGAAATTAAAAGACACTCCTTGGAAGGAATGTTATGACTAACCTAGATAACATATTAAAAAGCAGAGACATTACTTTGTCAACAAAGGTCCATCTAGTCAAGGCTATGGTTTTTCCAGTGGTCATGTATGGATGAAGCTGAAACTCCAATACTTTGGCTACCTCATAAGAGGAGTTGACTCATTGGAAAAGACCCTGATGCTGGGAGGGATTGGGGGCAGGAGGAGAAGGGGATGACATAGGATGAGATGGCTGGATAGCATCACCGACTCAATGGGCATGAGTTTGAGTAAACTCCAGGAGTTGGTGATGGACAGGGAGGCCTGGTGTATTATGATTCATGGGGTCACAAAGAGTCGGACACGACTGAGCGACTGAACTGAACTGAACTGAAGGAGTTTGGGCTTCCCTCATAGCTCAGTTGGTAAAGAATCTGCCTGCAATGCAGGAGACCCGGGTTCAATTCCTGGGTCAGGAAGATCTCCTGGAGAAGGAAATGGCAACCCACTCCAGTGTCCTTGCCCGGAAAATCCCATGGACAGAGGAGCCTGGCAGTACCATCCATGGGGTCGCAAGAGTCAGACACGACTTAGCGACTAAACCACCAAGGAGTTTGGATTTTATACCAAGGGTAGTAGAGTGCCACCACAAGAGTTTAAAGAGAGGAATGCCTAACCAGGCTTTCATTTTATAAAATGTAAATCTGATGGTACTGTAGAGACTGGATTAGGAGCAGACAAGATTGCAGCCTAGGAAATTGGTTTGGCGACTAAAGCAGCATAGGACACAAGAACGGATGGTGGCCTGAAACAAGATAGTATTGCTAGGAAGAGGAAATGGATACACCAGACAGACAGGGCTGTTGTTTAGTCACTAAGTCAAGACTGACTCTTTGCGACCCTGTGGTCTGTAGCCCACCAGACTCCTCTATCAATGGGATTTTCCAGGCAACAATACTGGAGTGGGTTGCCATTTCCTTCCCCAGGGAATATTCCCCACCAGGGATCCAACCCTCCTCTCCTGTACGGGTGGATGGATTCTTTACCCTTGAGGCACCAGGGAAGCCAGAGAAACAGGAAGCTAGGGGCAAAGAGACAGTAATGAATTGCTAGTGGAGGAGGAAGGGGAGGGAGAGGGTGAGGGAGAGAGAGAGAGAAAATCAAGTCACTACTCACAGTAAGTTGTGTGTATGGGCTTCTATTGGTCTGCTAAAGCCTTTTAATCTTAAATCCAAAATGAAGTCAAAGCAGTGAACTGAAACCATCCACTCCTCCTTCTTTTCTTTTTTCCAATTCGTTTTGAAATCTAATTAAATTTTACCTCCTGGCAATCTGGAATTAAATTTCTGAGATTGCTGTCAATTATTTCCTTTCTTGGTTTCCTCTTCCTCTTTCTTACTTCCCTATTTTATTCTTAATATCTTATGTTTTAACTCTATGCTAAGACACCTCATCATAACTTAACTTTCCCCCTAGAATTGCAGCTGCCGCTAAGTCGCTTCAGTCGTGTCCGACTCTGTGCGACTCCATAGACGGAAGCCCACCAGGCTTCTCCGTCCCTGGGATTCTCCAGGCAAGAACACTGGAGTGGGTTGCCATATCCTTCTCCAGTGCATGAAAGTGAAAAGTGAAAGTGAAGTCGCTCAGTTGTCTCCGACTCTTAGCGACCCCCATGGACGGCAGCCCACCACGCTCCCCCGTCCATAGGATTTTCCAGGCAAGAATACTGGAGTGGGGTACCATTGCCTTCTCCGCCTAGAACTGCGGAACATCTAAATAACTGAAACTTGTCCCCATCACAATTTTGTAGATTTCCCAAAGCTTTCCCAAACTTGTACTTGATCAGAATCTTGTAGGTTTCCTGAAGCTTTCCCCTTGCTACTTGGAATGTTTCCGGGTAATGTTCACAGGGTAATTCTCTGTTGTGAGTACGACTAACTTTTTTTCAGCGGAGACTTTCAGCATTATAGTCATCATTTCATTTTCTTAAAAAAAAAAAAAAGAAGCTTCTTTTTGTCGTAAAGGCAAAACATATTTTCATCATATTAAACGTTCGAATATGACTCACAGGTATGTCACTTGCACAAACAGTAAAACAAACATTATATCTGGGTTCTATTATGTGTATACGGCGGTGGCAGAAGGGCAGAAGAAATGCAAAATTTCCATCCCAGATCCCCGTTCCCAAAAGCAGAACAGCAAGTTTGCTGCACGGAGAGGTGACCACCCTCGTCGGGCAGCGCTGCCCGGGGCTACCGGCGAGTCTGCCTCCCCCCCGCCTCCGCCAGGCGGCCCGGCCCGCCAGTCCTCTCCACAACTCAGGGTCCTCGCCCCGTCCCCGAACGACTTCCTCCGTCCGGGAACTGATTCCTGCTGCGGCAGACTGCACCGTCCCTGCACCCACAGTCCGCAGGGGCTCTCTGCAAGCGCCGGGAACAACAGCCCCGTGACCCAGGCGGTTTCGCGGGGGCAGGAACTAGAGCTCCCGGCAAGGCCAGGGGCGGCTACTCCCGGAGCAGCCGCGCGCCCACCAGGTCCAGGAGGCTCGGCGCCGCAACTCGGCAGGGCGCCGGCCGGCGGGTGGAGACGGACCCGGGATCTGTCTGAGCAGGAAGCGAGCCGGAGACCGGTCGCCGCCGCCGCCGCCCCGTCCCGGTGCCGGCGCTCGCCGTCGCTGTCTCCTCGCTCTCGTCAGCCCCGCACCCCACCCTCCAGCCTCACCGGCGACAGGTAGCCCCGTCGCCGCGCACCTGCCCTCGCGTCCGCACCGGTGAGTGTCCGGGGCGCCCCCGTCTCGCCCTCTGCAGCCTCGCTGTCCGAGCCCGGCCTCTCTTCGAGGCCTCCGCCCGCCGCCCGGGGTAGACGAGCCGGCTCGGTTCTTCTCCCGAGGACGCCCGGGGTGAAGCAGGTGATGAGTGGGCCCGGGCGGCGGCGGTTCCCGGGAGCTCAGGGCTGGGTCTCATTTCCACAGGACAATGAGAGTCTCCTTTCATGGGTTTATCATCACCAAGATACCTTTGTGTATCATCTCTGGCTCCCAGGTTGAAACAGAGCACTCAGGTGTCCAGCTTAGACCTGGACTCTCCGTGACAGTTTTCTCTTTCGTTCACGAGCTTAAAATTAAGTGCAGAAAGAATGCTTTTTGTTCTGGGATGTGAGAATCAGCTATTACTATTAATTATATAGGAGCCCGGATTGGGACTATTTAAAGTTGCATTTTTAGTCTTTTGGTTAGTCTAGTGTTTGGGGTATGTTAATTTATGTATCTGCTGCTGAACAAGAGCTTTTCATATTTTTTTTTTACAGTTTTAGAAAAAGTGTTATGTTTTATCTGGCGTGAAGTTTGTAGTGGAGGAATGCTTAAATCCTAATCTACAAGTGTAAGGAGCTAGGAACTCTGCCCCAATTTAATAGGCTGCTGTTCATGCTAAGTTTTCCTGGTTGTTGTGCTCTGACCATGTAGATGCAGTATAGCTAAATATCGTCAGGGTTTGAGAGTTTTAAAAAGTGTTATTTTTAAGATTTAGCTGAAGGCTGTTCACACTATAAAATGGGAATCTTGAACTTGGTCATGGTACAAAGGTTGGCAGCAAAAGGACCTTTCTCTACAGATTAACTAAACTTCTTAGATTCCTTGGCTTGTGGTTTGCCATTGGAAATTGTTTACTGAAAAAATTACCTTGGTGTCTTTTATTATTAATTTTAGTAACACCACAACTTGGTCTATACCCAGAGCTTGAAACAAAGCAACCTTTTGAAATAACTCATTGACTTTTAAATATCCAGCTCATTTAGAGTAATTTCAGTCGCACAGAATTACTTGCATAGTGGTAAACAAAAGTTATTTTAGTCTTATGCACATTTGCTCAGTTGTACTTGTATGTTCTGTGTGACATGCTATTTATTGTTGGCTTTTAAGTTACAGTTTAAGAGAGACTAATGGAAGTGGTGAGCAACTTCAAGAAAAGATAATGATTAAAAACTCTCTATATAATATTTTAAACTATGTATAGTATATATTTTTTCATTAGTGCCTAGAAACATGGACAAGAAAAATGTAATAAGCTAGTGCAAAATTTAATGTAAATTCATGCAAAGTCTTAAAAGTATAAGTCAACCCGTGGAGCTCATCTGAAATGGATTCTTTCCTCTGTTTATGTTTGTGTGATCAACTTTTAAAATAACAGTGGCCAGGAAATCTGAGAGAAGCTGAAGGCCCTTTTCTCATCCTGTTGTGACTTTGCCTGGAGACTGTGGTAGATTATGTAGTCCATTGTTTAGATAACCTGGCTATCTATGGGTTCTAAAATATAACTTTCTTTTTTTTTTGTTAATTAATTTTTATTGCAGTATAATTGCTTACAATGTTGTGTTACCTTCTACTGTACAGCAAAGTGAATCAGCCATACATATACATATACCCCTTTTTTGGATTTTCCTTCCCATTTAGGACATCACAGTGCATTACGGAGAGTTCCCTGTTCTATACAGTATGTTCCCATCAGTTGTCTGTTTTATACGTGGTATCAATTGTGTAGATGTGTCCATCCCAATCTCCCAATAAAACGCAGCTTTTTAAATAAAATTTTAAAGAAATGACCGTGAGGTTTGAATAAATAAAAGCACCCCAGATGTTTTTTTTTAAGAAAACCTTACAGTCTGCTGATAATTGAAGTACCATATCTGTTATGTCAAATGGCAATTTTACAAAGATATTTAAACTGTGAATTTTTTATTTCTATATATTAAAACATTTTAAGTAAAAGATTGAAAAAAAGTAAAAAAGTATGACAACTGTAATAAATTCCATACAGTTTATCTGTGATCCTTAGGAGATATTTTGTATTAGTGTAATTGGTGACTGGCCCTTTAGTAGGATAAAATTGTCATTTATTAGGCATCTGTCATGAGCAGAACACTGAGGAACTTGATCTACAAAATAATTTTCAAGGTTGGTGGTCTTGTATGTGTGTGTTGTGTCTGACTCTTTGTGACCCTATGGACTGTAGCCCACCAGGCTCCTCTGTCCATGGAATATTCCATGCAAGAATAGTGGAGCAAGTTGCCACTTCCTACTCCAGGGGATCTTCCTGACCCAGGGATCGAACCTGTGTCTCTTGAGTCTCCTGCATTGGCAGGCAGATTCTTTACACTAGCACCACCTGTCCTAAATTGTCCCTTGAGAACATTTAGTCTCAGAGATTAAATATTTGCTCAAGTTCTTGAGGTTCTGTCATTCCTGGGAGAGTCTGGATTCACACTCAAGACCTCCGACCATAAAAGCTCAGTCCTTTCCACCAGAGCGGGTGCATTTGGTAGACTTCTGGTAAACCCACAGAACCGGTATTGTGCTAAAGAATGTAACTGCAGGTTTGAAGGAGGTACAGAGGAGTGATGTTGAGAAAGACTGGACATGGGACGGTGGAACTAATTTTGAATTCTGTTTCTTCATTTTTAGGTGGACATTCTTAAACAGTGATATGATGTTGCTTTATCATTTTGGGGGTAAATTCCAGAATATTACATGTATTCTGCACTTGTAATTTTGGTGGGTTATAGGAACTAGAATCAGACTGTAATGTAGCACTGGTTTTCATTGTAGCTAAAATGAATAGCATAATTTTCTTGGTTAGGATAGAACTTAAAAATGAGGTAGACTATTGCCCATAAATACAGTAGTTGCCTTTTAAATAATACATAATTAACTGTGTAATACTAAGAGGGGGAATGGTTTTTAGATAATGGTTAAATGGTGACCTGTTCGATTAGAACAGCTTTTTTAATGGCCTGTGTTTATTTCAGGAATGTCCCTTGAGCTATAATAGACATAAAGAACAAAAATGAGCACACACAGTCCACCTCCTGTAACAAATGAGTCATTTCGGCAGTAGAATGTGGTTCAGTAAATAGGCAGAAAAATGGTAGGAAGGCGAGTTGGGTGACTTCTGTTATAGGTGTTTTAAACTGCAGGGAATTTTGCATCTGGAAGATAACTCATATTCAACTGTAAATACAACACCATCATCCAAGGCCTAAGTGTAAATTATTAATGGATGATCTGTAACACATCTGCTTGTGTGTGTGTGGATAATCAAGACCTAACTAAAGTTTAATAAGCTTAATTCTGTTTTTGAGGGATATATAATGTTAAGAGGAACCAGGACGGGCTGCATTTAAAATAGTTACACTTTTATTTGACACATTTAGTGGACTGTTAATAATCTTAAAATGTAACTATTAGGATATCTTCCTAATTATGGTGTTCAGAGATGAATTTTTTTTTTTTTCTTATCGAGTAGTGTAAGAATGACACAGTGGTTTAAGAAACGACCACAAGTCAGCCAGAGTTCTCCCTGTGAGTACTGAAGCGTGGGAAATCAAACCGGAAGAACAGATCCGGCTAGAAACCTTGCTAGTATCAGAGAGAGGGGGAAGTCCTTTTGTATTCACAAAGCAGGTCTCCAGTGAAACCAAAATACCTAGGCACGTTCCTCGGGTGATATTCACATGCCTGCCGAATGACGTGCACAAAGCCAGGCGGCGCTCCTGGCGGAACCACGGGCATCACCCATGTACGTTCCTGCACTTGTTCTTTTATTGGAAGGGAACCTGCCGCTTAACCTTTACACGGTAAGGTGTTCGATATCGCAGATTTGAAATACTTCTTTCTGTATGGATGAGCACCTTTCCCAACCAGTATTTACTGAGGGTCCATTGTGTCTGAAATACAGCTGTTAATGGACACTGGTTCTTCCCTGTTCTGCAGATCTTTGGATTTAGGGTACAGAAAGCGTGGCGCAGGTGCGAAAAGAAAGATAAACAGAAGCATCCGTTTAAAACCTCCTGAAGACTCTTATGTCAGAAGTGAACACCTTACACGTGTGGCGCTTTGCTGTTTTGGAATTCGTTTATGTGCATTTGTTCCTAGAGCAACTTGATTAAGTAGATGTGATAAATTTATTCCTAATCTGCAGATGGGAAAACGGAGACCAAAAAAAAAAAAGTATTGGGTTAGTCGAAACGTTCATTCTGGTGTTTCCTGCCATCTTATGGGAAAACCTGAACAAAGGCAATGGCCACTGCAGTACTTTGTTCAAGGTCACATAGGAGGTTGCTGAGGAGCGTCCCTGAGAATTGGACCTTCCACCTGCATGTTCCCATGGATCCGCCCTCCTCCAGGTCTTGTTAGTTGGGCTTAACCTTTCATCAGTTTAGTTCAGTCGCTCAGTCGTGTATGACTCTTTGTGGCCCCATGGAGTGTAGCACGCCAGACTTCACTGTCCATGGCCAACTCCTGGAGTTTATCAAACTCATGTCCATGGAGTCAGTGATGCTAGCCAACCATCTCATCCTCTGTTGTCCCCTTCTCCTCCTGCCTTCAGTCTTTCCCAGCATCAGGGTCTTTTCCAAGGAGTCAGTTCTTCGCATCAACCTCTCAGCAGTGACTTATTTCATTTTATGGATTTAAGTCAGATGGGTCAGAAAATTCTGGATAATCAGGGTCACTAAAGTGATGATTATTAAATGTAGTTACTAATTGTTTTTCCTTTTTCTTTTTTTAAATGTAAGGTGGAAGATAAGCATGATGCATTATTATGGAACTACTCTAACATTTTCAGTAGATTAATGGAGTCAGTGTTGATAATTAACTTTTCTAGTTGTAGAATTTTTAAGAGAAAACTGCAATTAGTTTCAGAAAAGGAGAAGAGTATTCTGGGGGAATTTTGAAAATAAATTTTATGACTTGGCACATCGGTATTGATCTGATGG